TGATTATATTGTTTTGACTTTAGCATTACTTACAGCAGTTTTCATTGCTTCCCAGATGTTTTTTTTAATTGAATATTGTTTTGCATTCTCACACACTTCTTTTTAATGATAGACTACAAGTTTTCTTTCATTATTTGGGGGGGGGCAAGGAGGGCAACAGTGGTCAGCTTTGTCGCATGAAAGAGAACATTGTTCTGTATTAATATACTCTTTAACTTGGTTTCTTGGTTGTAATGTGTACCTTTCAAAAAAGCCCCTTGTGCAAAAAATTACAATAGTTCTGTGTTTATCTTGATATCATCATCAAATTAGAAGGGATCTATAATTTTAATATCTACAATACTAGCTCAAAACATTACTCCGAATGTCTATTGTTGATTTGTGTTTTCTAACCATTTGCATGAATGACCAAACCTCCAGCTTCACTTTTATGTCCATCCAATGTAACTCTACATCTGTCACTAAAAATTACTGTTAAGAAGTTTTCATATACTACTTCACCTAACATATGTTTCTTTTTGTGGTGTTTATTTTCAGGTGATAATTTGGTTGATCTCATATCTTTTGGCAATTCTTTTTAATAATCTGCATATTTACTCATCGTTTCTATTAGCAACACCAGCTTTCTTTAAATATTTTCTTACTCTTCAGTTGATATTTCTTGTTTATTACTTTTTTAATTTTCCCAAATCAATTTTTTTTTTTTTTTTTTTTTTTTTTTTTTAACATTCTTAAAGCTTATTTTGTTTCTTGTTCTTATCTTGCCAATATTTTTCAAGTCTTAGGATCATTGTTCAACTTTTTCTTCATTTCCAGCATTGGGCTTTCTATTAGACAAAACCTTTTTCTTTTTAGGTTATAGTTTTCTTACAAGGCATGTCCGTCTTTATATATTTGAAATTCAAAAATAAATTATAAAAACTGATACTATTAAATCTATTTATTTACAATATGATAAATAATCTTAGAATTGCTTAATAAAATCTCACACCATCAAATAAGTCATTGGAAAATATAAGGAACAAGAACAATAAAAGATGAATCAAGAAGACAGTAGATAACAATTGATATTGCATTTACATTTTTGAAGATCAAGGTTGGCTTAAAAGCAAGAAGATTGAAGAGTTTCACAAGCAAAAAGTGTGAGAAAAAGAAACTGTTAGCCAAAAATCTAACATCTAGTCAATTCAACTGTAAAATGATGAGACCTAGCTACCAATCTAGTACTGCTCTTAAATTCATAAAGTCTAGGTACCATAGAGGAAAGTTCATCAGAAGAATTACCATAAAAGTATTTATAGAAAAGGCACAGGGAAGCTATATTATAGTGGTAGAAAAGTGACTGAAGCTGAGATTCCAAGTCAGGACCAATAAGATTGAAAATATAAATATATACTAAAGATTTTCCAAATATCAGTTAGTTACTACCAATTTTATTCTGTAAACATTTTTTTGTATAATAAAATCAGACATCTTCATTATGCCGTGTTCCTTAGGATGCTAGCAATCATAGCTCTCCACAATTTCTTGTCTTTTATAGCTCTTAATAAGTTAATAAATTATCTTTTTGCTGTTTCTTTATCCCTGTTCTGCCAATACCAATATGTTAGGTAGGTTAGTCACTGCTTTCCTTTCTCCACCTTGCATTCAGTATGTCCTGGAGTATCAAATTTTCTCGGACCCCCTTTCCTTGTTATTTGCCTTAGAAATTCAACCAATCTCATTCTGATTGTAAGTGTCCTTTTTGTTTACATTTTCTCCAAAACTTTGTTATTGTTCACGTCTGTTGTATCCTCAGTTTCCTTCTGTAGAACCAGATTTCTGTGATCTCAAGTCTCTTCCTCTTTGAAACGATTGTCCAGCATTCACTGCCATATAGGAGGACTTATATTAAGTTATCATAGCAGCTTGCTACTCCTTTCATATTTTGTGACCTTGCCCTTCCTTTGTAGTGTCATCAACCTTTTATTTTGATAAAAACATTTATACATTTTTTCTTTGATGTTTGATTATTGAGGCACAATCTAAATACTCCTTTTTGAATAATACATAACATTGTTAGTAATTCCTAGTAACTCAATATTTAATTATTAGCTATAAGGAAATTATGAAACTTTGCGTCTGTTGCAATAACTCTCTTACGATAAATACTATGACTTTTCACTGCTTAGAGGAGAAAAAACAAAGATGGTCTATACTGTAACAATGTAACTTGAACATGGGGTCTGTATTAAGTTACAGCTCACTTTTTTTTTATCTGCCAACTGGATGATAGTTGGAAACTTTTGTGCAAGGGCAAGTGTCATATTCTGATACTAAGGTTTTGGCAATATTTTGACCATGTCTACCCAGACTAAAAATAGTCAATGGCCCCACATCCCTCTACTTCTGCATGGTCATATGCAATACACCTGTTCCAGCATTCCTATTTTAGAATCTATCAAATGCTAGATTTCGTGGGAAGATGCTGTCAGCTATTTGTCCTGATGACAGCCATCATCTGCCATAATATTGGTTTATTCTTGTGGCCAGCTATTTGTCCTGATGTCAAACAACTTGAACTGTAACATTAATTTCTACGGACACCTCCTGTTTCATCAGAAGACTCTACTGACTTCAATTCAAATATCGATATTTCTCGTCAAATTAGGTGCATATCACCTAACTCATCAAGATCAATCAGTATACTTAATTTGTACATCAATCTTTGGTTTATCTTTCTGTGTAAGCAATACAGATTTGTTGTGTTATGCCATTGATTTTGTACTCTTCTATACATGAAGTTTTCTTACTCTCAACTTAACACATGAACATTTTTACTACATTCAGTTCCAAACATGAACTTTATTTTCCATGTACTATCTCATATATGATACATGCGATTGATTCTTAGGATCTTTATTATGTTCCTGTATGTGTAGATATTTTATTGTAAAAATTCTTTCAGGAACCTTATTTCACGATATTATTTGTTACCTGAATTTTTGTGTTAACCTTGTTCCATATTAGGAAATTTGAATATTTTTTTTTTTATTTTTTTTTAGTTGCTAAATTTTATTTATTATAAATAAATATATAATTTTTTTTTTTTTTCTTTTACAATATTAATATAAACTCTTCATTATTATTGACCTGTCAGATCTACATTTGTTTTATCTTTTAAATGTTTGTGGTCCTCCTTTGATTAATTTAATCAAGATGCACAGCACAGGCCACATCTTCTCTCCCCATCAACCCCACCCCACCCCCACTGTGGGGGTTTGCAGCACAGTTCAGTACTCTTTTAATAAAAATTCATACTGTTTCTTAATATTTTGCTTAGGTTTTGAAAGGCATCTTTAGCCATCCCAATGCACCTTCAAATTTTGACATCACATTTTCTATCCTCTGTTAAAACACTTCCCAGATTACTTGATTTTGGTATCTCCAATTTGTAAATCAAATGTTGGACTCTTAATGTATGCTTATTACAATAGTCATGTTTTATTGATGACTCTTATTTTAATAAGATTTGATCTTTGTAGGGTAATTCTAGTTGACAAATTCTATTTACCCAGAGGTTAACCTGCTGCTTTTTGATTTACATCTAATGCAAATCTCCATTATCAATATGAGAAGGATTAACTACATTTTATCTTTTACCTTTCATTCACTTTCAGCTAATTTGATGTCTGCCAACAAGTTTCTGAAGTGTAAGATCAGCTCTGAGCTTCCACATAATTCCATCAACTATTTCCAATCAATATTTCTCAAATGTTGGCTTTACTGAACATGAGGCAATGATGCTGAGCCTCTAGAGATGAGACAGCCTCTGCTGGCAACCTTCCATCATGTAGTTTCTACCAGTATAAACTTCAAGAATTCCTTACTGAATGTTAAGTTCTGCTCAACACCTTTGACATGTACTGACCTCTACCTTCACTTACAGGCTGAAATAAAACCAATCCATTTATATATGCTAATAAAATCCTTTCTCTACATAGATATAAACATAGCCACAAGATCAATGCTAGTAATTCTATCTCAATTATATATGAAATACAACACAAAAGCTTGAAGAATATGACCATAGTAAACAAATGACTTACTATTGTACTTAGTTTCCACCATTTCTTTTGAAGTAATCTCTTATCTGCTGTTTGCACAGTGTAGCAGCAAAAGCTTGGTCTATTTTTTTGTTCATGAATTCACCCCAGGCAAGGCAACAAGATGCAAGGGGCAAGTTAAAGAGAAGGAAAAAAAACTTTAGAAAGAACTGTAAACCCAATCCTAACCAGAAAACAAAAGATAAACATTTATTTCTGTTCAAAAAAGCAGAGAGGGGTGTGAACCAGACAATAGGTGAACCTATCTACACCTATTGAGGTAGAAATAGTAAATAAAATTTCAGCATTTAGGCAGAAACATTAGAAATATAGAGTTTAATTAGACTTTAGAAGTAAAAGGAAACCCAATGAAACAAGGCAGACTTTTGTTCAAAAGTCTGGAGAGGCGTGTGAACTGTACAATAGGTGAACTTATCTACTCCTATTAAGAAATAGTAAATAAAACCAAACAGTGAGTGAAAAAAGTGTGCATTTGCCAAATCATATAAAGGCATATCAAAAAACAAATTTAGATAACTTTTCGTATAAATGAAATGTAGTCTAAAATTTGCATCCATATGCATGAATGACAACAAGTATAAAATTAAAATTAACATCTATAATAGATTAAGGCAAAGAGAACAAAAATAAGTAAACAAATAAAATGATATAATGTGCAACTACATAAACATGATTTTATCAAATGATAAAGACAAAAAGCAGGGAAAGAAAGAATAAAAAATACTAAACAAGTGTTCACAAACCTATGTGAAGAGCAACTTTCCTTTTTTGCCAAAAGTTCTGTCTTTTAGAAAGTTGACCAAAGATTTCTCCAAATTAAGTATTGTGACTTCATGAATTATTTGACCATTATCTTCATCTTTGTAGTTTCAATTCCAGCATTTCATTGGCTTACAGCTACACCATGTTGTAACACCAATTCCCATACAATCACCAAAGTTAAGCAACACTGAGCCTGGTCAGTACCTACATGGGTGACAGCTTGCGAATAACAGGTGCTGTAAACTCGTAGTGTAATAGATAATGGTTCAGAATTAGAAATTGGAGAGATGAGTTCCAATTCCAGTTGGATTCATTATATTAACTTATATGTAAATACCCTTGGGAAAGGTATGAATCCAGCTCTTCTCTTCCCAGCTAGGGGTTAATTAGTAGAACTTGTATCAGTGAATCCTTATCATCTGCCAAAATTTGTTACAATCTAAAAATATTTTCTAACTTTAAATAACCTACAGAAGGTTGGTAAGCTGTAAAAAAAAAAAAAAAATCAATCAATCCAGTATTTAATCTAAAATATTCTGGATTTTATGCTGTATTTGATAATCTTCAAAGATTCCTTTAGCTTGCATATAACCTTTTAGCAAAACTTTTCCTTAAATCTAATGAGAAAGTTTAGAATCTATGTTTCTGTTATGCTTGATGCTTGTATTTTTTCACAGAATATTAGAATTAGAAAAGTTCAATATTTGCAATTCTTCAATTAACACTTTCACTGTTACCTTTTAATAGCATTGTTGCTTGGTTGGGCTGGCTTGTTTTAGCCAAAAAATAGAAAATTTCCATTTGCTAGTAATAAATGACTATAAAGATATTGATGGCAATTTTTCAAGAGGATAATCTGTACTACAAATTTGGCTAAACAACACCCACTACACACTATATCATAAAAATATGTCACAAAACAAGTTGTACTGTATATGACTCTATATGTATATGCGGGTTTTGAAATACAAACAGTAGGGACCAATATTTTATGGTGTCTTGAAAATGTATATGTGCACCAACAGCAGGCAATGTAAGTTTCATAAAGACATATAGGTATATATTAAAAATATACAAATCCACAGTACCAATGTTACTATTAGTATGAAATTAGATAAAAACCTGCATATTGTATTCAAGCACATTGTATTTAGTTAGAATTTAAGATTTCTTATCTTCTTGTATTGTCTCTGTAAAAATAGTATCAAATATACAAATGCAAAGTTTAACTAATATTGATTACTGATTTTGGTGTATTAGTATGTTGAACTCCCATACTATTGATAGGCACTTAATTCTTACCTGGTATCCCAAAAATATCTTGTTAAACTTGGCTCAACTGTATAAATTTTATTCATTTCTTTTTTGAATTTAAGAATTTTTAGAGACTTGCCTATTTGCCCCTTGGCTGAAACGTGCTTTTTTACTAACTGGCTGTATTACCTGTGTGAAGTGATTGTTTTTTGGGGGTTTTTTTTTTTTATTTTTCTGTTTAGGATTGACTTCTTTTCTTTTTTTTTTTTTAATTTATTTTCATGAAATTGAGTTCTTTCCATTTTCTCTCTTTAATCTTTTTTCACATTGACTCTCAAGATAGTCTGCTTCAGTTGATTTTCAAGTCTTTATAAAACAGAATTTATAGAAGGGAGACGATTTTGTTGGTGTGATATTAATGACAATGGGTGAATGAAAAAGTCTGCTATAGATTTTGGCAACACTGCCTAGGGTAAAAAATAAAAATAAAAATTAAAAAGCAAACAAGAAACCTCAATTTCCTTTTCTTTTAATTTTCTTGGTTTCCTCCAAACAGCTTGAATATGTAGAACTGCTGTTATGCCAATTCATCATTATCTTGCTCTACCTTACTTGCAATTTTCTGTTCATTCCCTACATAAAGATCTTTTTTCTATCTTAGACACTATTTTCCACACATGCTTTCCTAATCTTTCTTTCTGTATTTAATAGAAAATTACAACTGAACAATATTCAAGTATAAATAAATGAAACAGAACACAATGAAATAATCACACTAGAAACAATCATATTAACAATAAATGTGAATCACTTATAAAGTGTGAGGCAAAAATACCTCCCAATTAATAGTAAGACATTAGTGGCAATGGTGTCTTCATCTAGCTAATGTTGTCTTATTATTTGAGAGGTATTTATGCCACACCCTGTATATCAGAAGTCCTTTTAAAATCCTTTTTTAATAATTACACCTAAAGCAAGGAAATAAAGCCACTAAGATGCAAAAAGTTACTGAGTGAAAAAATATGAGAAAAAAGATCGAGCAAATAAAATAATAAAAGGACAGGATTTAAGACAAAAGATAACGATTGTCATTGTATTTAAATTTTTGAAAATCATTGTTGATCAGAAAGCAAGAAGCCAGAAGATAGTTCCACAGGTGAGAAATCAGGGAATAAACTGTTAGCATAGAACTTAGTTACATCTAGCAATTTAAACTGTAAAACAATGAAACCTAGCTGCCAATTTAATACTAATAGAGGAAAGTTCATCAGAAAATATATATAGAAAGGATACAGGGAAGTTACATTACTGTTATATTCTGTGCTAATAGGAATATATACTTGACAAACAAGGTGGATAAAATAAGTAAAGGTTTATTGTAAAAAAAAAAAAAAAAAACTAGTACAATAAGAATAAAGGTAACAGTTATGCACATGGTCATTGCAAGTTAATCCAGTAGTGAGTGCTACTATTGGAAGATCGGTAGTTCTCGCATAAGTCTGGGTCATACTCAACAGATCCCAGCTAGACTCCATAGTCCATTGACTTACTGATACTTATAGATAGTTACTCCCTATAGTGTAGTTACTCATGGGGGTGACAAGATATTCCATTACATCAATTACAGTGGTGAGAAAGTGAGTGAAATTGGGAATACCAGGTCAGGACCAATAATATTGCAGATTCTTCTTTGTATTTTATCAAGAATCTCTAAATACATAGCAGAAGTACCAGACCAAATGTGGCAACAATATTCAACACAGGGTCAAATGACAGACTTAAAAAAGATTCTGGCAAAAAAATTGTTTAGCACAGCACAGTGAACCTAGCAGCAGACTTAGCATTTGGTTCAATATAATCTTTCTAATTCATGTCTGTGGAAAACAATAGCCTGTGAAGATGCAATCCTCTCCTGTGGATTACCATCAACCATGGAGGCAAAAATGGTTCTCTAAGACAAAAGGGAGTAGTTTAGTTTTGGAGACATTAAAAATAACAGCTATTACTTGCCACAGTTAACAGATTGAACTTCTTTTTTCTTATATCAGCTACCAATTTGATCTTATCAGACTTACCATTAAGTAAATAATTGTGGCATCAATGTAAATACCAAGTCAAGAACTGATGCCATTAGGAAAGTTGTTCGTGAAAATTAGGAACAATGTAGGTCCAAGAACAGATCCCTGGAGAACACCCACATTAATGTAAAAAAAACCTTGAAGAGTGGTTATTCAAGATAGCTTTCATTTTGTGATTAGATAAGATTGAATGAAATCAAAAATTCACCCAGAAATACAATAACCTTTTAATTTGTGAGGACCAGCATGTCAAAGGCTATCAAGATATCTAAAACAACAGTTCAAGCTTCACCATATTTACCTAAAGCTTGATAGATTCTTTCAGCAATAATCATTAATACATCAGCTGTTCACCTCTAGAGAAGTAAACGCCATATTGCTTATCTGGAAAGCAAGAGATAAATTATTTACTGTAGAGTTTAGAAAGAACAAAAAGTCAGTTCAGGAGCACTTTTCTTTAGGACTATTGCAGGAATGCCATCAGGTCTACATGCTTTGTGAGATTGCAGTTTACAGATGATAGCAGAGACCATGGATGGAGTTATATGCATATCCCTCAATAGACACTCCATTCTAAGTGGAAAGTCAAAGATACTCCAGATGAGTCAAGAATTGGAAGAGAATTTGACAAAGAACTTTATCAGTAGAAGATAATAATACCTCAAATTGAATGAAGAGAGCAGATATAGAGGGCTTACCCTCATTTAACACACTATTACAGAGCTGCCAATAGTAACAAGAACAATATTTGTTAGTCTTTATGGTGGTTCATTCTGTCAGTGTCAGTCATTGAGAACACATTATTATTAGTGGACACAGTCTGTTGTGATCAGAACTATCCTGTTGGTACAGCCAAAAAGTGATTCCTGTGGGCTATAGCAGGTATGAACTATGGAGAAGATTGTGGTTTTACCTGGTATTTCCAAGATGGCACAAAAGCATTGATGCCAGCTTTTACCTAAGAAACATGTGGTACAATTCTCATTCAGGTTAAAAATTTCATTCCAGTGGCATCACAAACATAATCTAGGATTTGTTCAGTTGAGAGTAAATTCAATCATTATTCCACAAACCCAAAACTCTAAAAGTAAAAGATTTTAAAGACATACATTAAAAATAATGGCTATAAATATTATTCTAAAATCAGTTTGTAAAAAATGGTATTTTCTGACTTCCTTACATTATGTAGTTTCTGGGAATTCATGGTTTATTTTGTCCAAATTATGCTTGAAGACAAAACAATATGTCATCAGATGTTTTATATTCTCTTATCTGAAAACAAAATATAGTATTTGTACTGTTGAAAGCAAATTCAACCATTATTTCAAGGTATAAGATCTCAAAACACTTGTTATTATTAAAACAAAGTATGCTTCAGTTTTGTTGCAGGTATCACCTCTTTGTTTGCAAGGTATATGGACATTTTAAGGTAGATATTTATTGGCTCCTGGAACATTTGTCCCACAAACAATAATTGATGGACTCTAGTGAATCAGGTAAAATTAAGGAACTTAAAACAAATGGCAATTATATGCATGTATTAACAGAAGTAATTGCATGTATACATAACTGAAATAAAAGGAAATGACATTGTGTGTGTGTGTGTGAAATAAGTATGTGTGATGTGCATGTGTGAATGAGTTCAGAAGACAACAGAGGACCAAGATAATGTTCTTTATCTGTGTTTGACTACGTCTGGAAACAAGAGTTAAAAAGAGGAAGAGAAAGAATATGCTTGCCTTTTTATAGACATAAAGTGTCCCCCCTCCACCGCCTCAACAGGCTTTTTTGGTAAAGCCAAGTTCAGCAACCCACAGTCTCTAGAATTATTTTGCTTTTGTTATGAATATTATTCTAAAATCAGAATAAAATCATGTAAGAGTAACAAAATGATTGCCTTGAGAAAAATA